GAGTGTGTTATTAAAGTTTTAGTTTTCTAATTTATTAAACGCAGTATAGTTTACATGAAAATTGGTTTTTCTTTTAAATTAAATCAAAATAAATCATTATGAACTTGATGTTAAGTTTTCTACAAACAAAATGGAAAGAGGAATCTGTTGGTTTTTGATTCAAGCTGATCCAATGAAAATTAAGTGTTTTAATAAAATTTTACTTTTGTAAATATATATGCGGTTGTTTATAATGCATTAAACTTAATATTTTGATTTTAATACATTCAATTAAAAGCAATGTAAACTTTATATTATTTGTTCTTTAAATAGAATGATGAGTGAAATCTTTAGGTTTTGGTTTCAAGATGATCTTTAATTCTAAAGTTTCTATAAGTAATCTCACACTAAGTTTTTCTATTTCAAGGTCATTTTATTATAAAATATGCTTAATACTTTTCAAACAAGTTTCAAATAACAACACTTTCAGTTAACTCGATATACAATATCCAATCGCCATCCAAATACTTTTCTAGGAATTTTTTGTGCATCCAATAAGTTTTGATCCAACACTTGTATGTATTAAGTTAAAATTCCTGAAATGAAAAAAAAAAAAAATTAACAACATAAAAATAATTTTTTGTAATAAACAATACTTACAAAGAATAATTATCTTGAATCTTAATGTAAAATGATTATCTGCGAGTTTCAATGAACACCTAGATTTTTTCCACTGACACATGATTTACATCTTAAAATAAGGATTGTAGTGAACACGAACAGGCACACATTTTACAATGTCTGATGAGAAACACATACAGCTCACTGAAGTGTACGATAACAAATTCGCCTTCTATAGGATACTTTTTTTGTTGCTAACCTAAACATAACAGCAGATAACATCTCATCAAACTCAAAAAATAAAACATAAGCAATTGTAATAAAAAAACAGTTTTTGAAATTTTTAGTTTTAAAATGGTTTACGACTAAATGAAAACACTAGTTTTCAACCATATTGTAATTTTTTTAAAAATTAAAAATCACATTCGACAAACAAAAGAACACATAATAAAACTTACTTTTAAGTTTGGTCATTTCTAAAGTCGTTTCGATATTAACTTTAACACTGCGTATCCAGGTCTATGGAATAAGTTATAAATATATTATACCTTTGAAATGCTTCAGGATAAAATGCCTTTGATAGTTAGGCTAAAACACAAAATTAAAAAATAATTACTAATTAATGAGACGTGAAGAAACGACAAAATGACAATTTTTTCAACTAAAATAGATTCATTGATGATAACGGTACGGCTGCAAGCATTGACTGAATTTATTGAAGAGTCGGGTAAGAGGATACCAACATTTAGAAAATTAGAAAAAAAAGTATACGTTGTATCAATGAATAAAACATATTTAAAAGAGAATTCATTAAACAATAATTGATAATTACCTGATTTCGACATCAAATGTAGCAGAATAATAACACATTGTTTAAGCTATTCATAATGACTGTTATTTGATCTCCATACCGTTTAAATAACAATAAAATAGTTTTTAGTGTACACAGAAAGACACAATAAACACAATAATCATTGTGGTTAGCAAAAGTAAAAGAAAATATAAATCAAGTTATTTTTCTCTGTGATAATATAATAATATTAAACAATCCATACTAGTTATAATATAGTATAGATAAGATAATTACGTCATCTATGATAACACGGTTTTAAAAACAAAATTAATTTTATGTGAAGTCTACTAAATTTTTATTTTTGATTCAACGTGATCCAATGAATATTGAAAGTGTTATTAAGCTTCCAGTTTTGTTAATTTATACTCTCCAGTATAATTTACATAAAGAATGGTTTTTTGATTTAAAAAAAACTCTGAATATAGTTGTAAAATTGATATTAATTTTAATTTATATGATAGGATAGGAAAAAAACGAGTCTTTTGGTTGTGCTTTGATGATAATTTATCGAAAAGTTAATAGTGTTGTTTAACTTTCACTTTGTAATTGTGTACTATATAGTATAATGTACATGAAATGAATTTTTATATAAAAAACTATGAATGAACATAGTGATCTTGATATTAAATTCTCAATATATAGTATCACAAGAAGAGGCACAATACGATCACTTACGGAACGTAAAGGTGCGTTCGGTCACGGTTTGGTCTCGGTGTAGCAGTTTTTTGTAAATTACTTACCCTTCTATAAAGCCGACCCCATTTAAAAAAAATTCAAAAGAAACGCATCCTCCTAATAATATATACGTTACTAGTCACCAGTAGCGGACTGTGAGAATAAAACAACCAGGGAAAATCATAATTTTAGAGGCCTTCACTATACCAATGGTCCCGTATTTCTATCTGAAATCTGATTTTTTATGTTTAATAATAATATTACATACTTATTACTTATCAGATAGTATTTTAAATTATAATTTTACAGTAATAATATTAATAAATATATATTTTATATGAGCAGCGGTTAGGGTTATTATAAAATAAAACATTTTTATTAACTAAAATTATGATATTTAAATCATTTTAAGTATTTTTTTGGCATTTGTTAATATTTTGTTATATAAAATAATATTAATAAAAACAATTTACCCGTGTTATTAATATTAGATTTTTTCATGTTTGTTACTCCTGATGTCCCTGGTTTTATATCGGGTACACACACTTTTTCAGGTAATTGGATTTGTTTTCTATTATCTTTAAAATAAATATCAAAGGAATAATTAATTATTAACTTTAAACAATATATTTACTTAAATACATACCATGAGCGTATCTCGTATGCAGCATTCGGTTAGTCTCAGTTTCAAATATTGCCAAACATATATCACATTGAAAGTGGTAGGCTACGCTGTATTTCTTATTGTTAAAAAGCAAAACCCCTCTGCTGCTGTACAAAAAAAGTGTCCAGCTTTAGACTTAAATTTATCGAATAATAAGGTGACTATCGATGTTTTTATTTATTTTAAAAATCGATTGTTAACTTTATTTATAAATATACGAAAAATAAGGATAAAATCGATCTTTTTGATTATGATACTGTATAACATCGAGTAATATGTAAATATTACATGGTTGGTAATCCATATGGGAGGTGGCTTACACAATGCGATGGTGTGCCGGAGGGGGATAACTTTAGGGTGTTTTTGATAGATTGTAGTGTTGGTGGAGATGTGTTCACGGAGCAACTTTAACGTTATTTGGATTTATACAAAATCTGCTATTAAAATTTATATTTTACAGTATTTTAAATCATCGGTCATCAGTCAACATTATACATATGCGTAATTTACTTATGCATCTTTTCTACTTAGTCGTCCTATACTTAACCAAATTGTTTGTGTTTTACATCCTTGCCTTTAGTTTTATTTTTTTAAATTTACATCAGATGCCTAGACGTCCACTATTTCCCCTTCTGAAAGTAATTAGTTTTTACTTGTACTATAATCTGAAATGTGGAAAATAAAAAATTCACGGACTTTTGCTGGTAATCAATGTGTGTATAATGTATATATAAAGGTAATATATTAACAATTTTTAGTAACTAATATACAATATTTTGAATGATAGTTAACTGTCACAACAATTTAAATAACAAGTATATAATTTAAAAATAATTATAATCTCATCGCAAAGCCGAGATTTTCGAATATCAATTATATAAACAAAAAACACAGTAATAATAATAAAAAATTTGGTTAAAATAAAAATTTAATATATAATAGTAATAAGTAAACACACACAATTGAGTATCAATGTGCAAATAATAATAATAGTTAGTACTTATGTGTATATGAATATTTTCGTATCTTAGAATTTTTCCAATGTATATCTATCTAACCGTATTATATTTCCGTATATTTCATTTAATCAATTGATTTACGTATGAATCAAAATAAATATAGTACAATTGTGCAACAAAATGTATATTTCATATATTATTATAAATTTACCACCAAAGCAATTTGAATAATGTATTGTAGTATTTATTAGGTGCTTGTTACAGTGACGCACAGATATTGATGATAATCTATAGATTGCTAACTGTTTTTATTAGCAATATAATTTAATAAAAAGATTCGATATCGATGACCGTAACTTTTAAAAAGGACAGCTGTATAATACTTTAAACACAGAAGACATAAAGCAAGGTCGTATTATTATATATTTTAATTGTGATAATGTTATTGTTACTAGGCTGTACTTGTTTTGACTTTTGAAGTTATGTTCTGCAGTTAAGTTTTGTTGTTGTGCTCGAGTCAGTATAATGAAACTTTCACTATGTATATTGTATAATAAGCTGTCATGCCCGGACAATTTGACGTTTTATTTATTTTTTGTCATTATTTTGCTATGGAAACGGTATACGAATAACACTTACCAGCGATCGGTGTTATGTCAAACAATATATTTCATAATAAATCCGTATTATAATATCGTTAAAATTGAAAAAAATTTATATCGGCGGTCAAACAGCAGCGTTGTGGATACACACCGATAGGGCGATAAGTATAAACGCAGTACCCCCACTCTTAACTTCATTTTCTGTGATTTAAGAAATATCTTCTACTCAGTCGGCACCAAACGGATTGTGAGAAGAAGGACACAGCATGGCCATTATGTACGTTTTCAACGCGATTAACTCGGCGTTGCGGGACAGAACCCGACTGTGGATGGTGCCGTTTGTCTGGCTTGAGGCCAAGACAGGCGTCGATCACGTGAAACTGTCCGCGGGTTGCCTGTTGGCCGCACTGGCGTTCATCATCGCGTCCGGTCGAATGGTCATGTTGGTCAGCAATCTTTTGGGGTTCGCGTATCCCACGTACGCCAGCATCGAGTGGATGGTAAAGGACGACAGACAACGCGAAACATCACCGCCTCCGACGCCGCTACCGGTACTTTCCGGTCAGTCCGGACGTTATGCGCCTATATCGCAGGCCACACGATGGCTCACGTACTGGATAACGTTCGCGGCTGTGCTCATGGTGCAACAATTGTGCGGCGACATACTACGGTTCATACCGTTTTACTTCCTCGTTAAAATTGCGTTCTTCGTATGGTGCGCGTTGCCGATGGAAGCCAACGGCGCCGCATTCGTGCACAGATATGTTGTGCGCGACCATTTAAAACATTTTTTCGACTGATCGTGTGTCATCCTGGACCCATCGGAGAGATGAGGTCTAAAGAATTTTTTAATTATATGATCATAAATTTGTACGAATCACGATTTACACTATTTCATTACACACACGACGTAACTACTAACGAGTGTGTTTACTTTATCCGCAAATTTAATAACATTTATTTTTTATTTTATTTTTCATAAAAACTGAAAAACAACGTTATTAAACATGTACCTATTAGTAGGACGCAAAAAATCTAAGATTGAGATTTAAACGAATAATTACAAACTTTTGGTTGGCAATATAAATTATTATTATTTTTATATCAAACAGAAAAATATTTAATAAAAGAATAACGTTTTAATAATAAATTATAATTTTTAGAGAAAGTGATTATTTTTTATTTAATTTAAAGACTTGGCCCGGTTAGAACTCGGAAAAAAGAGCTCCACGTGACTATGTTCTTTTGCATATTATGATTTTAGTTTCCAAGTGTAACATTATTTTACTAGATAATTAAATATAGATGAATTAAGATTTCACCATCATGATTTCGATAAAAGAAAGCATTATCATTAAAATAAATTAATTTGGTAATCTACTACTTATTAAAATTTCATTTTGGTTTTATTTTGCGATAACTTTATGAGTATTTGTATATAATTATAATATAGGCGTATTTTAAATCATGTAAGAAAAATACTAATTGTAATTAAGAGGGCACACACTCATATATGTAGTCTGTCTTATAAGCATACAGGTACAATATGTTAAATTTGGGTTCAGTAGAATTATTTTTATGTTGTTTGTTTTAAAATCAGAATAAATTGACCTATAATTAAAGTTAAAGGTAAGAACGTTATGTGCTTACTGCTTAAAAGTTGGATTTTTTAATGTTTAAATTGTTAAGCTTAGTATAAGCAATTATAGCTTATAATATTTACTGTACTCATTTTGATTTAAATATCTAATATAATAGAATGATAGTAAATTAATTAATTAATCATTATTAATAATAGATATTTGTGATTTAATCCACTGCAAAATTACTTGGTGACAAATACTCCAATGGAAAAATTAAAAGAGTATGAATTCGAGTATAATAAATAAATGTGTGTAGCTTTTAGGCTTTAACATAAATAATTTATATTATAATATAGATAATACATCAAATATCAATGTGTCAAAGGGGACTTATGTTGTTTTAGCCCCCACGATCTTGGAAAAGTTATATATTATTTATTTATTTATATCACAAATACCTCATAATATATTAAGTAAGTTAACAGAAAGTTTCCATGTCAAACAAAATTGTACCAAAATTGAAAATAATCCTATTAAGTAAAAACATACTTTATTAACTAATTTATTTTTTAGTACGTACGTTTACAACTTTCCTCCCGGGAAAAATGTCAATGCTAAGAAAATTAAAAATTCGATTTTTTACTGGGAAAAGTCTTATGGTTAATTTATGTTATTTAATATTATATAGAATTAATATTTATCTATAAAATAAATAATACATAGATTTATTTAATATTGCTAGATTTTATTTTGATATTTTGTTCTAGTTGAGATATAATTTAATTATATCTACGATCATTAACATTAGAATTTACAACAAATCAAACTTAAAAATTCAAAATGTCTGTGGGTACCTGCATATTGATATTCCATAAATGTATTTTATTTACTTTTATATGTACGTAAATAATTTTTTTTATTTTAGAATAGATAATATTTAAACATTTTCTTCATAGTTTTTTATGAATAAAAGTCAGTTTTGACTAAGATAAAAATTATTGGAAAGTGAGTACTTTTAAAACATATTCAAATATAAATCGAATCAACTTGCCACTTGGTATGTATATAAAATCCATCATTAAATAATAGCAAAATTACAAAAACTATTGTATCTTCAATATAAACGACGTTGTAAATGTTAAGAAAAAATACAAATTACGACTATATTCCTTTAATAATAAATTAATACAACCATACAGATTTTGAACATGGGTGTCCGCCATCGAATTTTAACGTAGCGCCGTTTAAAGGAAACGTTGAGCGGTAATATTCTGCCTTTACAGCCTATATATAAAATGCCAATATAGAAATTAAGGCGAGTTCTAAGTTATTACTTCCAACGGCATGTATTAATTGGTATAATTAATCTTGTGAAACGATAAGAATCCTGAAAATAAATTAGAATCATGAGTTATTGAGTTTTTTTATACTTAACACAAATTTATTATATTTTTGATTTGATCGTTTTAACCTTACCCACTAAAACACAATGGTACAATAACGGTAACACACGTATAGCATGCAACCCTGATACAGGCGCCACACGTTTTTGCCGCTTCTTAACCCAGGAATGTAATTTCACACGGCGGAGACGGTTTGCAAAATCGTGTAATTTCTTTGTGTTTGCCGAAATGGCGCTTTACGGGGTTTGGCTGACCAGGGTTACAGTAGTAGATGCGTTGCTTTAGTGGTGCTTCACCACCACCCGACGTTGCGCTGTGCAGTAGCGATGTATACGGAAAATGTGAATGTAATAATTTCATCAGTTTGCCGTTTAGTTTCATGGCATACGAGACTGGACCACTTTGAGGCGTGGTTAAATATCATTTGTTTTTCAATGCACTTTGATGATCATTGAATAAATCATAAGCATTATAAAGTGCTGTATAAATAGTAGATATTTCACGTAGTTCAGTTTTAATTGAAAAAAAAAATTAATTCAAATGAGTATTTTACATGATTTTGAAAATTTTACCATTTATTTTGAGAAAAAAATAAATACCAAAATACATTTATTTCTAAAAAAAAAAAAAAAAAAACAAATTACTTTCCTTATGCCACTGAGAATGGTAGTTTACCAATATGAACAATGACAATGTAAATATTGGTTAAATAATTAATAACCTTCAGTTGAGGTCAGTTTAATAAATATTAAGAATAATTTCCAGTTTGGCATTTGAAATGTAATAATTAATTTATAAGTAATTTGATTTTTCTGACAGACAAGGTTGACCTATTTTATAAGTTTAGCTATTAAACTTTACTAATTCTTGGATCCCGATAATATTCCTATAGGAATACATATTTGTATTTGTACAGAACGTCCTGACGTTATAGTTAACTGGCGATAGTGTTTAATTTAATTAGTTTTTAGTTCCCACTTTTCCAAGTTGTTGCGTGCCAATATCAGATCCAGACTCAGGGTATTATTTAAATGAAATTTATAACTCTTAAAAATAATAATGTGTTTATTACGTATAAATGAAGTACATGTAACTGATACAAAAAGTGGCTGAGTGTTGTGAAGGTGCTCAGGTCTTCGTGGCTCTGGTACATCTGCCTCTGTTGGTCTCTGGTCTCCCTTATATACAAAGAAGTCTCTTGTTGTTGTAGTCAACAACCTTCTAATTCATATTAATTCTTGGAATTGTTTTCACATTTGAAAACAACAATCTCCAGGATGTCTTCTGTTCTTAATTGGCAATTCGTGGAAATACAATATACATTTAAACGACCTCGATATTTTAACGACTGCTATTTTGATTTATGATGATGAATTATAATGATTTATTATTAGCATTATCTAGCAATATTACATATTATATTATATATACTATCGTAGCATATCTCGTAGCCCATAACAGTACCCACGACAGAAATAAGTGTTTTTTTTATAATTAATAGAGTATTACTCTTTTAATTTTAGTTTGAGGACTGTATATTATGAATTAAAATGGTATCTCAAGTGAAAAGTAAAATGGTGGTGTTTACCGTGTTATATACATACAAGTTATTTAATTTGATGTGTTGCTTGTAATTTGGTATAGCTTTAGTTTTATAGATACGTATAAAAATATAAAATAGACATGTTTGAAATATCCTTTATAAATTTTATAATTCGTATGACTTCAAGAAGACTAGAAAAATGTATCATCATAATTCATAATGTTTTTATATTATTCGTGTAATTTTGATGCCTTCGTGGCAGTCGAAAGCAGTTGAAAATTAAATTCCGTAAAAATGAAAAATGACGTGAAAATGTGGTGACGGACTTTTTCAATGATCCAAACTAAAACAGTTTTATCTATAATAACTAAGGTTCGGAAATTTTAGTGACCTGTGTATTTTTTAAATACATTTTTTGGAAGTCAACTAGAAAGGTAGTTAAAATTTAGAAGCCAATTCAATGATACCTTATGGCTTTTAAGGGTAAAATATTAAATACCTAGATATTTAATAATCAATTATATTGCTCTATTTTAAAATATAACTTAATATACGTAGGTAATATTCATAACACATAAAAATTCAAAGATCTGAATTTAATAATTAATAACTAATATTTATTAATGAACAACATATATATATATAATACATTTTAAAAGTGTCATGAACTATTGAATGTTTTAATCTAGTTTAGTGGTAAACATAAATCATATCTACTTTTTAATCCCTACAAAACTACAATAAAAAAATATCATAACCAACATTTTTTAAGATTATATCTGTATTGTATTCTATATAATATACGTATAAATGAAAAATATAAATATTTAAAAATGCTCATAATTCATATAAAAATTAAAATATTTAAAAAAAAACCAAAAAAGAAAACACAGATAAATGTTCTTACTTAAAAGTTTGATTATAGAATAATTCACTCTAATATCAAAACTAAAAGCATACTATTGAAATTGATGAATGAAAATGTACTATATTGGACGTGTTTAAGATAGAGACAATACTTACGGGTGCGACATCCTCTTCATAAAATTGATGGTTCTTTTATTACAAATTACAATAAACAATTCTATATTATTATAATAAAATGTTTTATTTTATAACAATAAATAATTTTATATTATTATAATAAAATGTGTTTTATTTTATTACAACGAATCAGTTGTGTTTACTGAATTATTAGTGTTTTTTAACACCAGCTAATATTTCATTGCTGGCCATTTAAAGACAATAAACTGTCTTTCTAAGACTATTTA